GCATTTTTTTTTTTTTTTATTTAGTACTATAATCGATAAGAATACATCACGAGATGAACTAAAAATCAAGCACAACATAGAAAATATAATTTTTTTTTAATTTAATAATTTTATTTAATCAACTGCCAGGCGCGAGTTCGAATCCCAAGCTGGTCTTAGAAACCAGCTTGGTTGAGATTTGACCTTGCCGCGTTTGTTAAGATTTTTTCAAACGAAAAAGACCCCAACGTACCACTCCTAACACTTAAAGTCGGCGATATCACTAATTAACGAAAAATAAAAAAATTTATGAGCGACCTTTCAAAATTTAAATTTTGAACTGAAACTTTCAGAAACTTATTTTTTTTTTAGTCTATTAGATTATACCGATTTTTTTTAGTCTATTAGATTATACTCTTAAAAATTTTTTTTTTGAGCTGTCCTTTGGTGAGGGCTCTTAAAACATCAAAAACTAAGATTTTTTCACTCGAGACTCAAAAAAAAAAAAATAGATATGTTCATATATAATCAGATCAAGTTATGTATGATTAGACCTGGTCAATTTTTGGATCTGATCATATATAGACGATTATGCATGATTATATATGATTAGACAAAATCTTTTTTCATCGGGAAATTCTATTTAAAAACTCTTTATAACCCCACAACTTCATCAGATAGAAAATTTTAATAAATTAGGTAGATTAATAGTTTTTTTATTAGAAGATATAACAAATAAAATAAAGAGTGAATAATAATAATTATAAATTTATACATTAGAGAATATGTTGTTTGATGGTGTAAGTTATTAATGTAATATTGCGAGTGAGACACCGTCAGTCCTAAAGATATTTATTACCTACTATTAAATATTCCATAACTATTCATTAATATCGTATTTATTCTTAAAAAAAAATATTTGTTAAAAGTTAAATAATAATTGCTTATAATAATAAATAATAATTGATAAGTATCAATTAATAAATTGTTTTAAAATAAATGAATTTATTAACAGTTTATAAATTCTTCCAACAGTACATGACCAGTCACAATTTTACTTGTGAAAAGAAAATAAGGAAAAATTGAAAAATTGACGTATCACTTTCAAATTGTTGATCAAAAGTCAAAATTTCATTTTGACGATTTTTGAACCTCTAAAATCTTTATAAGATCCATTTTTTTACCAACCCAATTTGATTTTATCATAGGCAAGTTAATTTTTCATTTATTTTAATTTGGCTTAAAAAAAGGCAAAATCTTATTTATATTTATGATTGCCCAATATTTTGAATATTATTAGCCTAAGAAATTTTATTAAATTATAAAGATCTTTTAGTATGATAAATAATTTATTGACATTTTCTACTAAATTTAAATTCTATTCCGTACATGAGTGATTTAAAGTTTACCGAGTTAGATGTGTTAGGAAAAGCTGATTGCAAGCAAGTGCGGGGGTTGTATTATAGCCGAGAGCCTAGTAGTATCTCAAACTACCCTTAAAGTGTGTATCTAGGTGGCGCAGTTAGCTCTAGTGAAAAATCGATACTTATTGTGAAACGCGGACTCACTAGCAGTTCGCGTCTCGTGGGCGTCAAGTAAACACACACTCTCTTATCCAACAATGATAACAACAACAATAACATATTAAAAATATTCATTATTATTTTCAATCAGTTAGTTATACCGTAGGCTCCCGAAAATTACTTGTTCTAAATCATGGTAATCGCTAGACTTTTTAATACTTCGTTTCAAAAATTTTTTTATTATTATTGACAGTAAATTACTTAATGAATTAAGAATTTATTAAAAAAAAAGTTTTTTGTTATGTTTTTACAGTATGGTTTTGTGAATTACGCACTGGAACTCCTCGTTGTCAGGACTTTCGACAGTGAAACATGGGAAGCTATAAAGTAAGTTAACTACTAAATTTTTCTTTTTTGTTAAAATAATTTTCTTGCGTGCTTAATTTGTTTTTATTCTAGTGAATTAAAAAGTAATTAACATCGAGTTTTCTTTAAGAGCTTAAATTATAAAGTGCCGCGGCATTGGCTTCCACGTGGTGGCTTTGCGAAAAAAAAATACCAAACATTCTATTGTGGTGATGAAGAGAATTTGACTTTTTAGTTTTGAAATTTAATGGTTTTTTATAATAGGACTGACGTTGTGGAGAGAATTAAAGTAAAATATTTCTAATAATTAATGAATTGAAAATGGTTGGTCGTTATTCATTAGTTATTTAGTCATTTATTGTGAATTAATAAATCAATTCGTATCGAGGGTTCAAATTTAGAATAAATTATTTTTGAGTAAAAAGTGACAAAGATATTTGTACATTCATACAAGAGCTTAATAATCGTTAATAAATTCATTTTCTTAAAAATAATTTATTAGTTTATCAAGTATAAGTAATTATTTTTAAACTTTTAATAAATATTTTTTGCGTAAAAGCTCTAAATTTATCAAGAGATTACAAATATTTATTGATAGTTTATAAATAGTTTTAGGACTGAATACGTCTCGCTTGCAATATTACATTAATAACTTACACTATCAAATAAAATATTATCTAATCTATAATTATCATTCTTCATTATCTATTTTAATTGTTATACTTTTAATCAAAAAAATTAATAAATATTTATTATATCATCTGATGTTAGAAAAATCAGTTATTAATAGTTAATAAAGCTTATTAAATAAAAAAAATCCTTGCATCAGTGCATTTATTCTTGAAACAAAAAAGAATCAAAATTTCGTTCATTAAATGATGACTAAAATTTTTTCAATAATTCGCACATTTTCAAAATTTTACTCAAAACGAACTTGTATTAATAATTTTCCTATAACTCAATTTCGAAATCGAAGACCATAACTTTTCAATTTAAAATTTTTTATCTTTCCAGTAACAACTCAAATCATTTGTCAGTAATTCGAGTAATAAAATTAATAAAAATTTTAATGACCCAATTCAAAAATTGAAGAACATAATTTTCAATTAAAAAATGATAAATTGTCCGAAATTTGTTTAAGAATTGATCTGAGGCTTTCTTATTTACTGACCAAGGTGTGTATACTATTTTTCTGCTCGACGTAGCCGGAATGTGGCAACTTTGTTTAGCGCAGCGGCCAGAAAGTTGCCACGTTCCGGCCGGAGGGCAGAAATAGTATATTACATACCTAGGCCAGTAAAATAAGAAAAGTCTCAGATCACATGTAATTGTTGGCCGAGGCGAAGCCGAGGTTGACAAACATGTGATCTGAGGCTTTACTTTTTACTGGCCAAGGTGTATATACTATTTTTCTGCTCGACGTAGCCGGAATGTGACAACTTTGTTTAGCGCAGCGGCCAGAAAGTTGCCACTTTCCGGCCGGAGAGCAGAA